CCTCTGGGCGGCGCTGTTGCTGAAATGCTGGCTGTTCCCTCTGGGCGGTCCGTGCTGCATGGGGAGTGCGGGGCCCAAACGGCCGCTTGCGCCGCTTGCTCCCCCGCGGCGGCCTGGCTGAGCAGCGCAGAAGTCAGCTGCCATGGTGGGAGGAAGGGGAAGGGGGCGGGGCGGTGACGTACACAGCCAGGGGGCAGGGCTGTCTACATCACCGCCCCCCTTCCCCTCCCGCTGTGGCACCCAGCTGAGTGCTGCGCCCCTCAGCTGGGCCACCGGGGGAGCCAGCAGCACAAGGGGCTGTTTGGGGGAAGGGAGGGAGGTGATGTACACTGCCCCACCCGTGTACGTCACCGCCCCGTTACTCAGCCAAGCGCCACGGTGAGAGGGAAGGGGAAGGGGGGCGGGGAGAGATGGAGGGGAGAGAAAGGCAGGAGGAGGGGGGGGGGGAGGAGGAGGAGGAGAAGAGAAAGGGAGAGTGAGAGGCAGGAGGCAGAGGGGAGCTGAGAGAGAGAAGACCTGAAAATCCCATTTTATGACGGGCTAATTGGTTAGTTCTTAAATATTCTGTGATGGGGAGTACACAATCTTCCACACAGCCTAATCCAGAGCTTAACTACCCATATCATTAGAAACCTTTTGGCCTAAAAAGGATACAAATAAAGAAACCATGCCAACAGTATATTAGAAAGTCTTTCACGTGCAATATTTTTCTTCCTTAAGGAAGGTGTTGAATTTGGTGGATAAGCAAGATTAGCAAGTGTACACGTGCTCTCAAATGCATTAAGAGAAATAGTTAATACTCAAAAAAATGGATGATGGAATGAATAGTATCAATTTATCTTCTTATAGGACAGTACTAAAAAGGACAAACCTGATCAAATATATTACATAATTCTTACTTTTATAACTTTATTGAGACATTCATCAGCAACCATCCTGACATCAGACTCTGCATCATCACTGCAGAGAAGAAAGAGTTCCATAGCAATACCAAGCAGTTTCTGAAATTCTGGAGAATTCCTAAATTGGAAAAAAAAAGTTAGCATGTTTTAAAGTGCACTATGGAAAAGTAAGTGAATGTTGCTGTTTGTAAAGACAGACGTTGAAGACGGGAGTCCATATTTTTAGTTTCCACTTTTCCTATTGACATGGTTTGGAAATAAAATAATTGTTACAAATGTTGTCCTTTTGCAATTAAATTGAATTTCCCATATCCAATATTCTAAATGTAAAGGTCAATATAGCATCATACTGTTTACTTTCCATTGAGGTCATCACTCATCCTGTTTTCACAGCATAACCTAAAGCAATACAACATTCCAAGCTCAGAAGCTACAATGTGCAACACAGATTAGCTGGGTCAAACAATTTTTTCTCTATTCCTCAGAAGGGCAAACTAATAGTTGAGTCCAGGCACAAAAGTTTACATAATTTTACATATCAAACTCCAATTTGACCGCCTCTGGAAAATTTAAGAACATGCATACATTTTATTTTTCTCTAGAATTCTGATCTTCTAATGGGATATTTTCACAGAATTCTTCTGACTCTAAAAGGGTTTTCTTTACATTAAATTCAACAAATAATTCCCCAACATCCCATAAAATAGCAATGAAGAATGTTACATTCAGAATCCAAGCAGTTTTTAAAGGTGACAAATAATGTGAGAGGAAGGTTCACTGATTAAGGGCCTGGATCTTTTCCATGCTCTACCACAGTCTGCCTGTGTAACTGGGTTAAGTCACAGTCCCACATTTATAAAATGGGGACAACAGTATTTCTCCACCTCAAAGGACTGTTGTGCCACATTTAAAAAGACTGAGCTGCTCAGACCTTATGATAAAAGGAAGCCATGGATGAGTCATATCTTTTGCTTATATTTCCTTTGGGAATTGTCAACTGCTTAGCAATAGCTAGGATTGTTTTACCAATAGTAGCAAAGGCATTAGCTGACAAGCAGATATTCATCTGTCCCCCAAAGGGTATTTGGGTTTGAAGTGGATCCTGGACTGCACTTAAATTCAAAAAGTGATCTCATGCTGAAAAAGGTGACCACTGATATAAATGGTGTTTGGTCCTACCGGGAGAGCAGGGGACTGGACTTGATGATCTCTCAAGGTCCCTTCCAGTCTTAGTATTCTATGAAACTATAGTTTTACTCTGATCTTTGGGAAGCATAAAAGAGTAAACAGTGAAAAAGTATATACTTACGCCAAGATTTTTCAAAGCAAATATAAAAGTTCAATGTGAGACCACTTTAAAAGGGCCTGATGAGTATAGGCCCTCAGACAATTTCTTCAGAGCTGAAGCTTTCATTTTAAAAAACAAAATCTCTACATGAGAAACTGAAGTAAACTGAAGCAGTGTTTTCTTTGTAGTTTTAATATATACGATTTTAGTGACACTACTATTTGCTCACCCATACAAAGCAACAAATCTGTGCAAGAGACCTGACCAATTCCAATACTACTATATTAATAACACTTCCATTATCGAAGAGGCTTCAGGCCCCAATCAGGGGTCATCATGCTAGGATTGAACCCCACAATTAAAGATAGAATATTTTCCGAATAACTTACTCCCCCCGCCCCAGTAAATATTGCTATTCAGTTTGTGGGAAACAAAGAAACAGTCAAGACCATGTAATTTTCCTACTGCTCCTCGAGAATGCCATGAGATCTGAGACAGACACAGAAGTTTAGGGTATGTCTAGACTGCATCTCTCTGAAGGATGCAGATTAGACAGGTCGACATTGCAAATGAAGCGGGGATTTAAATATCCCGCGCTTAATTTGCATTAAAAATGGCCGCCATTTTTGCTGACTCGGCACTTGGTCTGCAAAACGCTGCAGTCTAAAGGGGGATCTGTCGAGAAAGTAAGCCTCTCTCAACAGATCCTGTAAACCTCCTTGCAGGAGGCATATGGGATCTGTCAAAAAAGACTTTCTTTCTCGACAGATCCCCCTCTAGACTGCAGCGTTTTGCAGACAAAGTGCTGAGTCGGCAAAAAGGCAGCCATTTTTTATGAAAATTAAGCATGGGATATTTAAATCCCCGCTTCATTTGCAATGTCGACCTGTCTAATCTGCATCCCTCTGCCAACAGAGGGATGCAGTCTAGACATACCCTTAGGCTATGTCTACACTGGCATGATTTTCTGAAAATGCTTTTAACAGAAAAGCTTTCCACTAAAAGCATTTTTGGAAAAGCACGTCTAGATTGCTTTTGCGGAAAAGCGTCAGTGGCCAATCTAGACGCGGGTTTCCGAAAAAAGCCCCGATCGCCATTTTCGCGATCGGGCCTTTTTTGCGGAAAACAGTACTGTGCTGTTTACACTGGCCCTTTTGCGCAAAAGTCTTTCGGAAAAAGACTTTTGCCCGAACGGGAGCAGCATAGTATCTCCGGAAAAGCCCTGACGATCTTACATGAGATCGTCAGTGCTTTTCCAGAATTTCAGGCAGCCAGTGTAGACAGCTGGCAAGTTTTTCTGCAAAAGCAGATGATTTTGCGGAAAAACTTGCCAGTCTAGACACAACCTTAGTGGGAAAAAATGAGACAAAGGACAGAAGTTGGGAAAACGAGTATAGTAAGGAGAAATTGTAGCTCCTGCAATGGACAGGAGGCCCTAAGAAGAGAGAAGCGATGCAAATTCTGTCTGCTTCCACCTATACAGGAACAGACTGAAATAAGTAAACCAAACAGATGCTGATATGAAAGATTAAGCTCCAGACCAGAATCTGAGGATAACTCCAGGTACAAATCTCAGCACTTTCCCAATATCTAAAGAAATCTGGAGGACTGGAGTTTTCACCAGGGCACTACTTCTGGACCTCATTTATGGCAAGGTCTCATAACAATCTTTGGATAATTGGTTTGTTCCTCCAGAGTCTCTATCTGGTAAATTTTTCCAACCCTTCAACGTCCTGTTTCAAAAAGGAGTATGTTCAAAATTCAGAATTAGAGACGGATTAAAATGAAGAAACCATAAGAACACTAAGCCACTTTACCAGCATTCATAAAGAGTTCAGAAAGTCTTTTATTACCTTAGCGACTGAGCAACTATGTTTTCACATATTGTCAGGCAGTGATTCACTCGATCTTTCTTGGAAGTTGTAAGTTCTTTCTTTCTAAAATAAAAATGAGAATGTACTTTGAATAAATCCAAACAACAACATGTCAAACCAATCATTGTTAGTTGTATGGTATGGCAACTTAAATATGCATTCCTTACTGTAATTCAGGTCCAACAGATACAGTCAGCTATTTTATTTGCCAACATTACCTTATTCACTTATAACAGCCCCAAAGACTGAGTTCCTTTCCTCCTTTTCCATGCTACTTTATCAACAACTTAGTTCTGCTTTAAAATACAGAACTCGTAGGGAACATCTACACAATAGGGGTAAGGCCAAAATAAGCTATGCAACTTCAGCTACATCAATTGAATAGCGTAATTTGAAATAGCTTATTTCAGCTTTTGGCACCGTCTATACAGCAAGAAGTCTGAAGAGCATTCTTCCTCTGACTTCCCTTACTCCTTGTAAAATGAGGGTTATAGGAATCTGAGTAAGAAGTCCTCCAGCTTGACATTACTTCAACAGTATGTCAAAATAACTACTTGTAGTGTAGACACAGACTAAGTTTTCGGAATAACATGAGTTATTCCGAAATAATACTGCTGTGTAGACGTGCCCTTACAGACACGCATCATAGCTAGCATCTATTCCACCCTAAGAAAGTGGATCAGAACTCTGAGATGCCGATTTTCAAACCGGCTCTGCCCGACACCCCTACGCTGCTGCCTCTGATATAGAAGCAGCAGCGCAGGAATGGAAGGAGCTCCGAGGAGTGGGGATGGGAGCATTTCAGTAACCATTTAACTGCTAAAAATTGTTGCAACTACACAATTACTAAAAAAACCAATATTTAATATCCCTATATGCCAGCAGGGTTCAGGTTCCGCCATCTTGCCTGTGAGCACACCAAGTAGTTAGTTCCCCTGCCCCAAACCGTTTCCCCCCCTCCCCAACACCCTTGGCTGCAGCATCGGGTACGGGGGAGAAAAAAAGGCCCCTGACGGTCAGGGTGGCTAGGAGACCTCAGTGGAGAGAGAGAGAGAGATAAGGGCCCCTGACAGCTAGAGGGGTTAAGGAGGAGAGAAAGTCCATGTCAGATGGGACCTCCCGCCCTGAGCCTCTCCTCACCCCTCCAATCCCAGCCTCCAACACGGCCCTGCCCTACAACCTCAAGTCCCTGCCCTGAGTCCTGCACCCCCAACACCATCAACCCCCTATCTTAAAGGAACCGGGCAACACTGAGTAAGTCTGCTAGTCATAACATAATAGTTGGCACTCTCATTAAGAAAAGCATGCCATATTAAATGTAATAAGCTATACTAATGAAATGATTATATAGAGACTTTAGATGTTCAGGTCAGGAAACTCAAAAGTTAGGTTTTCTGTGACACCTCAAATGCCAGCCTTTATGGGGATGGAAGGAGGAAATATTTGCACACTGTACTCATATTAATCCCCAATAATAAGAGTACAAAAGTTTGACATTAAGTTAAAACTTATTTCAGGAGATGGGAAATCTGAAAACGTTTAGCCTACTGATTTAAAAGCAAGACCTAAGATCACTACAACTAGAAGATTAGAAAGAAAATCTTTTGCTTTATTTTATGTCTTTAATTTCTCCTTTCCTTTCTGCACATTTTTCACACAGCAGAAAACACATTTTGAAGAGAAGTTGTGAATGGAGAATGACAAAAACTGGTAGAAGCAAATACCACCTAAAAACTACTTTTACTTTAGTAAGATTTTTAAAAACTTCCAGTATGTGTCAAACCAAATTTGTAACAATTTTAGGGATGTGAAAGTGTAACCATGTACACAGTCAACAGATGAACTTTCATGGTTATGTAGAGGCTCTCGGTACACACGGAAAGCCAGCTTAATAGCCAGCTCTCTGCTCTCACAAGCTTCTGGGGGAGCTTCCTGTCCCTTAATCCCCCATCCACGTGCTACTACTAAGGATGTTATGGACTAGTCAATCTTCTCCCCCCCCTCCCGTTTGCTGCCTCTATCAGATAAAGGCAGCAAAAGGGGGAGGGGAAAAAAAAGGGTTCTTCAAAGTGGCAGCTCGTACCTAGACTCCGTGCAGGATTGCCACTTTGAAACTTCGCGGCGGCGATTCAAACGGACAGCGCCGCACAGCTGATCTCAAACTCAGCTGTGTGGCATTGCTCCTTTGAAATGCCACCATGGGACACCCTAGCTGACCCTGGGCTCCGCGTGGCATTTCAAAGCAGCAGCGCGTTCATGGAGCCAGGGTCAACAGGGGACTCTCAGTCCCACGCTGGCCCCAGGCTCCATGAAGGCGTTTCTGCTTTGAAATGCACAAGAGCCACGGGTGGGGACTCTTGTACATTTCAAAGCTGGCACGCTGAGTGCAGCCCAGAGTCAGCAGGACTTCCCACTGGTCCTGGGCTGCACACAGAGTTCCTCATTCCTCCTTTGAAATGTACAAGAGCCCCCTCTTGTCTTGTACATTTCAAAAGAGGAATGCAGAAGTGCCTATCGACTAGTCGATGGAAATTCCACTGACTACTCGACTAGTAAATTACTCGCTGTTTAACATCCTTAGCTGCTACCTCTATATCAGAGGCAGCAGCATCAGGGAGGGGAGAGAGTGCAGGCAGAAGCCAGTACGTCCAGGGAGCCACTTGTTGCTCTGCGTGTAACCACAGTTACATGTTTACTTAAATGCATTTTAACATCCCTAATTAGTTTCTTCAGTGACACAAATCTCAGCTACCTATTTCTTGTCAGTTAGTGACATCCAATTTTCTACTTTGGTTGAAATATTTGATACAATGGATTTAACTCTCTCAAACTTCCTTTTGGGAAGAAACGCCTCATATTTTATAGTAACCCAAGAGATTTTTTGAGGAATGAGTGAATAAAGGAAAGGATTCAGAATATGATTTTATTATTATTTTATATTAAAGCACCTTTCATCCTTAAGAATTTAAAATATCTTACATATTTACAGAAAAAAATTTCAAGCCCGCCTCCAAAACACACAAACACTTAAATGAAACCATATGTGGAATAAAAAAGCAGACGTTTAAGAACAACCACCAACTCTGAATTAGTGTTTAAGACAAATAATGGAAAACACCACGGCCAAATTACATAGTAGGCAAGATGAGTAACCAAGTTGACATGTGGCCAAAAGGACTATGAGAAAAACCATTAGCTCTCGGAAAGGTAACACAGGATCTTTAAAAATCATGGTCAATCCCCATTTCACATCACTTTTAAGACATCAGGATAAAATTATCATAAATACTTAAGCGACTTACAGTCTAAGTCCAATTAAAGTCAACAAACTCTTCAATTAAAATTTTAAACCAAGGTAGTTTTGAAATTTTTAGCAAGCATCTCCAGCAGCACAGTGCCTTCTAACACCAGAAGAGCTGTGTACTCTGACACAGAGGCAAAGTGTAATTTATTTAATCAGGTTACATTTGGAAATGCATACACACTCATCAGATAAAAAGTATGCCAACTAAGTGGCTGAATATGGCTACATTTGTAGTTTGAATTGTTAGAGTCATGCACCGATATAATTTGTATGTGCAAAAAATGAGCCATGGATATCCACATTCATGGATGGGGATACCTCTGATAAAAAGCACATACCTGAAGATTTGCAGACCTCTAATTATTAAGCCAAAGACACTCCAACTCCAAGCAAGATTCAGGCATGTCTTCAAAGTTAGTTGAACTGTCACAAGCTAATCCAATCCTATCAAAGTCATCCACTATAAAAATCTACACAATTATTTGAGCTAAAAATGGAACTTAATCTATCTGAAAACAATGACTCAGACTGTATTTTGGTTTAAACTCAGAAAAAAAAACAACATCTACACTTTACTAGACTCAAATCTTTCCAAACACTGACTCCTATGGACTGAATTATATTACATAGCTTTAGACACACATCATGTAAGCAGGACCAGATCTCTCAAAGGATGCAAAAAGTACAGTAGTCTATCACTCGACTTTTACCAAAGGTACTGGCATTCATTTGTCTGGTATATCAAAAGATAATCTTTTAAGGTAATCTTTTAATCTCATAGCAGTAATAGTGTATTGTTTGAATTATATGAAACAATTTCTTTAAAATTCTCAAAACTGAAAAGAGATCAGTTATTTTCACTTTTGTCAGTTGTATGCTCTACTTCATGTTGTAATGTCTTTGTGGCAGATACTACTAGGGAATTTCTAAATCCCAAACAAAACTGGCACTCATTCAGCTGGTGTTTTCTTGCAACTTTATAGCACTGATTTAGGTGATCCTCAAATATATATTTTCCCCCCAAAACACAGAACAAGAAAATCATTCATGCCATTTGTATTATACTGTACGTCCCAATTTTTTGAAGAAAATGAGTCCGGAGTTTCAGTACATCTAAATTTCATACCTGAACGTCCTGATAATTTCCTCTAGTTTTAAATATTTGTATAGTATGAACTTACAAATCTCAGGTGTCTCCATTTGTTTACCTGTAATATACAGTAACATTCCATAGCAAAAAGCTTAATAAGAAAAAAGTTATTACTGTATCAGATAAATGAATATTAAAAAGCTGACCATGCCAACTTTAGCTGATTGTGCACACCAACGATGAGCAACTTAGGGTACTGAGTGGGCCACACAAGTGGCCCTCCATCTAGTGGGCCACAAGACTGTCATAATCAAGACCACCTCCCACAATAGTGTAGTTTTGCTAACTGCACTTGCAGGTGCACCAATTTAACCATAGCAATAAGAACGGCCATACTGGGTCAAACTGAAGGGTCATCTAGCCTAGTATCCTGTCTGCCAACAGTGGTCAATATCGGATGCCCCAGAGAGATGGAACAACAGGTAATCCCCACACAATCCCTCTCTTGTCACCCATTTCCAGACAAACAGAGGCTAGGGACACCATTCCTACTCATCCTGGCTAATAGCCATTGATGGACCTAATCTCCATGAATCTATCTAGCTCTTTTTTGAACCCTGTTAAAGTCCTAGTCCTCACCATATCCTCTGGCAAGGAGTTCCACAGGCT